AGCGCGGGAACGTCGCGCGAGTCGGCGACTCGGGCGGGCGCAGTATCATGGCGACGTCGCAGGCGCCCACGATGCTGATAGTAGCGACGCTGGCGGCGACGATGACAAGGGCGACGGCAAGGGGAGGGGCTGCGCCGATGCTGACCACGCCGGGAACGACGATGGCGTTCTCGCGTCGGCGGCGACGGCGCTGGGAGGAGCCCGACGCGCTCGCGCAGTCGACGCGCGCACTTGGGCGGCGTAACCTCATTTGTCAGGGGGCGCCCCCGCCCCCCCCCCTCCCAGCGCGCGCGCGAGGGAGTTCGAATGATTTCGACATGTGCGCGCGAGAGGCACGTTTGGTTGCAGCTGACAAAAATGTGGGAGACCCTACGGCGTTCTTACTCACGAATGCGCGAGCGCAGACTTTCGAACCATTCGCTTCCACATGTTTCGGGGCACTCGATTTCAAAAATCCACGCGAGGCCCGGATATGTCAGAAGAGTTCGAACTGCGCGCGCGACAACGCGCGCGCCCACGCCGCCCCACTTGCTGCAACGGGGCCCTTGCCACAGCACTCGCGCCAGGGGGTTCGAATGATTTGGGCGCGCGCGCGCGAGAGGCACTTCTGGCCGCATTCGCTGAAGGCGCTGGGTAACTCATGCTGTTCTCTGGATTTCGCACGAGCGCGAGCGCAGCCTTTTTACACAAAACTTGGATTGCAAAACCAGTTGTTATGTGCTCAAGACTCTCGATGCCAAAATATATGCGAAACCTTCGGCGCTTCAAACAAGTCGGGGTGGTCATGTGAAAATTGCATCTCCCCAGGGGGGGGGAACGATCCGGGGGGGGGTCAATCCCTAAATCTGTATTTGGAGAAAGAAGCGAGGTGGCGCACGACTGTGCAATCTATGCGGTTTCGCTACATATATCGCACAATCTACGGGGTGCAATCTATGTGGTGCAATAGTATGCATGGTGCAATGGTGCAATATATACGGTCGGGCAATCTATATGGTGCAATCTACTACGTGCAACGATCTGCTGTTCGCAAGAAAATGTCACCCCCCCTGCTCGCGCAATCATCCCACCTACCCACCCGCAGCTTGGCTTGCAAGAAACCATGCGACAGCGATTGCGATGAGTGCTTGGCGTCGGCTGGCGCATCTCCACGGCCCCGCTGGCCGGCGCATGCTCGCGCGCGCGGCGGTCATACAGTTTGGCGCAACCGACGCGGCCGCGGCGGCGCTGACCGCTGGGCACTTCCCAGCGGGCACTTTAGCGCGAGCCAGCGACTTGCGCGGGTGCGATGTCATGTCGACGCCGACAACGGTACACGCGAGGATGGCAGTAATGATGTTGATGTCGATGATGACAACGACGACGGCAAGGCCGACGACGGCACCGATGCTGATCACGCCGACGACGATGACGGCGCCCTCGCGTCGGGGATGAAAGTGTTGGAAGGAATTCGACCCGCGCGCGCAGCCGACGCGCGAGTGGCCCGCATGGTATTAGTTGGCACGGACCGTGCAAACCTAGCACGCGCGCACGGACGTTCGAATGATCTCAACATGCGGCGCGAGAGGCTGGCAGAATTGAAATGGAAATGCTGGAAAAGTGAAGGTTTCCCTTAGAATCCCCGAATCGCGAGCACAGGTTTTTGTTTATGAAAACTGGCGTTGCAAAACCACGTGTTCTTTACATGTTTGGGGTATTCGAATTAAAAGTCCGAACAAAACACAAGGTTTTTGAATGATGCCGGCGTGCGCGCGCGACGGTGCGCGCGCACTTTGCCGCAGATGTTGCAAACAAATTGTGCAACAGCACGCGCGCAAGGTCGTTCGAACGCTTTCGAAATGCGCGCGCGGGAGGCACGTTTGGCAGCATGTTCTGAAAACGTTGACAGCCGATGGTTGTCTCAAAAATTCGCAGAAGCGCGGGCGCAAGCTTGTCTGGAAAATCATGCTGCCAAAACCATGTTTACATGTTTTCAGGACGCTCGACTTTGAAATCCGTGCGAAGCCAAAGGATATTGAAAGAGTTTGAAAGATTTTGGCATACCATGCGAGCGTGACGACGCGCTTGCGCACCTCGCCACACTGTGGTGCAACGGTTTATTGAACAAATGACGATGTGTGTATAAACGAATGCGCGCACAGGATGTTTTGCAGGAAGATGTGGGGGGGCGATACCAGCCTGCCTGGGATGATACGAAATCGAATTTAGGATGGACGATTGGGCAACATCATTGGCAAATTGCAATACGGAAAAAAGGGGTCCGTTAATTCCGGTCCAGGGGGGGTAGACCCTCATACTTCTTCAGAAGGAGAATATACGTGGTGCAATCTGTGTTGTGAGCGATCAGAAAGCGCGCCGCAGGCGCGAAATTTCGTCTCGTGCAACTTACGCGTGGTGCAATCTAGCGGCGGCGACGGGGCGGCGACGGCGACGTAGCCGCCAGACCGCCCAACCGGCCCCAACGACAGGCGGCGACGAGGTGGCGACGGGGCGGCGACGACGGCGACACAGCCGCCAACCCGCCCAACCGGCCTAGTTCCTTAGATCAGAAGTAAAAGCCCCTAAGTGCAAGCAGTGTATGGGGAAGAACTAAAAAACTTGAGCAGCAGACGCGACAGCACAACTCTTGAAGCAGGCCTGACGCTCGCACAAGACCAGGCGTCGAAATGGCCTCCATCCCCCGATGCAGAAGCCACCCCATTAAGCCCAGTCCGACAAATTGCGGCGGGGAGGACGACCAGCTGACTACGGCAGGTCGGGTCAACAATAAATAATCCGCCGCCCACTGTCGATTCATCGCAGGTGTGCCTGGCGTGCTGGACTTCTTACGGCTTTGGTTTTGTTCCTTGTTCCGAAAGAACTCCCCCTGGGGCTTCGGCCCGTCCCGCCGGGGTCCCGGGAGGCTCTTCCAGTACCGCAAACGACCTCAACGTCCACAACAAATTATCCAAGACTGCTCAAGATAACCTCCAAGATGGCCATGTTGGCCCAAGATGGCCTCCAAGATGGTCCAAGATGGCCTCCAAGTTCGCCCATGATGATCCAAGACGGCCTCCAAGACGGCCCAAGAGAGCCCAAGACGGCCCGATACGGCCCAAAAGGCCCCCCAGAGGCCTCCAAGACGGCCCAAGAGGCCTCCAAGAGGTCCTCCAGGAGGGCCCGAAGAGGCCCAAATCATTGATTTTCAATAGGTTGTTGAAGGATTTTGGCATTCGCTTCTTCTCGGCTTTCCGAGTTTCCGACGACCCAAGACGGCCCGAGAGGCCCCCAAGATCGCCCCCACAGCGCCCAAGAGGCCTCCAAGATGGCCTCAGGACTGCCCAAGAGGCCCCCAAGACGGCCCCAAGAGAGCACAAAGACGACCCAAGAGGCCTCCAAAACGCCCAAGATGGCCTCTAAGACGGCCCTGGAGCACCCCAAGAGGGCCCCAAGTCGGCTCAGAGAGACCCCCCAAACGGCTTTCGACGGGGTCGGACGGGCCAGGGGCCCACCAAGACGGCCGAAGTTGGCTCGAAGCTGGCCCAAGACGGCCCAAGAGGCCTCCAAGAGGGCCTCCAGGAAGGCCAAACAAGGCCAAAAACACTGATGTTCCGTGGGTGTTTGAAGGATTTTGGCAATTGCTTCGTTTCGCCCTCCGACGGCCCGATACGGCCCAAGAGCCGCCAAAGATCGCCCAAAAATCGCCCAAGAGGTCTCCAAGATGGCCCCAGAACGGCCCTAGAGGCCCCCAAGACGGCCCCAAGAGACCCCCAAGACGGTCCAGGAGGCCTTTTAAGACGCCCAAGATGGCCTCCAAGACGGCCCTGGAGCATTCCAAGAGGGCCCCAAGTCGGCTCAGAGAGACCCCCCAAACGGCTTTCGACGGGGTCGGACGGGCCAGGGGCCCACCAAGACGGCCGAAGAGGGCCCTAAGATGGCCCAAGACGGCCCAAGAGGCCTCCAAGAGGGCCTCCAGGAAGGCCCGAAAAGGCATGTTGTGTGATTTCCCATGAGTTTTTGAAGGATTGTGGCATTTGCTTTGTTTCGGCCTTCCGACGGCCGAGACGACCCAAGTGCACCCAAAGATCGCCCAAGAGGCCCAAGACGGCCCCAAGAGGCCCCCAAGACGGCACAAGAGGTCTCCAAGACGCTCAAGATGGCCTCCAAGACGGCCCAAGAGCCCTCCAAGACGTCCTCCAAGAAGTCCCGAAAGGGTCAAAATGGCCTCCAGGCGGCCAAGAGGACCTTCAAGATGCCCACGTGTTCCCCGAAGGCTTTCCAAACCGATTCGGGGAACACATGGTCCGATAGCTTGGCAGGTCGGGCCTCAACGTTCGGCCACAGAGGCGCTTCCAAAAAGGCAGGGGGCGGCGGTGACTCAACGTAGGCGTCTTCGATTATCAGTCAAAAGGAAGAACTCAAGGACTGCATACGTAATGATTAATGCGGGGAGTCCTCGTGGCGCGACCCTGCGCGTCCCTGCGTGTACATGTACGCAGAGGGCACAGCGCAGGGAAGACGCAGAAGGCAAACAGGATGATGTCCTGCTGCTGCCAGGGAAGAAGTGGAGGAGAACAGAAACGAGGACCATGACCTCGACTGAGCGCGACAACGTCGGTGCCCATCTTGGTCATCGCCCATCCTGGTCATCGTCAACTCGTGGGTCGTCCTCGCGAATCGGCGACGGCCGGCATGGGCCACCACCAAGCCCGGCGTCGACAAGATCCCGCGGCATCTTGGTCGTCGATATTGTGCCTCTTCCTTTGACGAAGTGCACGTCCCTCCCCACCATCCGACCCCACCACCCCCACAAAAGGCCTGGGTGCCTGTTCTTCTTGGAAGGGGAAAGCGGCACAAATCCGAGCTTTCGGAGGTCCGCGCGAACCTCTTGGACCGGTGCTGGCGGCGCTGACGGAGTCGCCGGGGGGCCCAGCGCCGATCCAGGGAATCCGCGCGGACCTCCGACTTTCTATTCCTCGAGTCGTGCCGATGCCCAAAGGGCGGCCGCGGGGGCGGGCGGCCTTCAGGATCCCGAGGAGGCCGTACTTCTGCCTCGCCTCCTGCTCGGCCTGGCCGCGGAGCGGCGAGGGCGACTCGCCCCAGGCCGGCCGCGGGGTCTGCAGGGAGCAGGGGGCAGGAGCACGCCTCCGTCTGCGTCAACAGGAGGCCTCTCGACTGTGCCGCATCGCCGACACATCGCCGATGCATCGGCGAGGCGTCAGCGACGTAAGCGTGGAGAAAATCGGGCACTGCATCGAGCCGCATCGCCGGTGCATCGGCGATGCGGCCCGATCCTGCAACCCCATCCACTCCGACCCCATTTGGGGGCCTGCCTGCGTGCGCCAAGCTGGTAATCATGCCAGGAGCGCGCCCCGCCTCCGATGGGCGGCCGACCGCGACCCGCTGCGGCGTCAGGGGAACAAAATGTGCACCAGAACGACGATCGAAAACGGGTCTTACGCGAGATGACGTAGAGACCTTACGCGGTGGCTTACGCGGGCCGCTGGTGCGGCACGCCACATTTTAAGCAAGGTCGCTTTCGCGCGACCTTACGCGGGCAGCTTACGCAACAATGTCGGCGCAGACGGCCCCATTGTTTTGCCTCGCTCACCTGACATCCAGCCGCCTCTAAGACGAGGGCAAGATGAGGATAGCGGGGGCGGGGGCACCGCGCCACCGTTCTCGCCCTCCTCTCGAGACCTGTGCGGCAAGAGCACGGAGTGTCGAGGGCCGAACTTCGAGAACCTAGATGTCTGGCAGATCTCTTTGCCATTTCTGGACTCTCCTGGAGCGCTCTTGTCCCCGACGGCCGGATATCCGCCTCGAAGCTCCAGCCCAAAAGCGCCCTGGGATACGTCCCAAAGCCAACTTTTAACCTCAAATCCCAAACCACCTCGCGCTCTTGACAAAAACCAGCGGTTTTCCCTGGAAAAGCTCGTACGAGAAGGCTTGATGTCTTTCTTCTGAAGCACGTGTGAGCTCCTCCAGATCCGGCCTCTGGTCTGTTGGGCCTCCCATGCGGTCTCCCGTATGGCTTCCCGTGCACACCCGTATCGTCTCCCGTCTGATCTCCCGAATGGTATCCTTCATGGGCTCCCGTATGTACAGTACTATGCTGTTTAGAGTCTTCTGCCGCCTGTGTAATTGACGAGTGTCGGCCGCAAGGGGAGACCCTCTTCTCCTGGAGGCGGCTTAGGAGCAGGAGGAGGATGAGGGGGAAAAGGCGCGAGGTCCAAGAGAGGCACGAGAGGCGGGAGAGGAGCAGAGAGAGCAGGGAGAGGAGCGGGCGAGGCAGGGAAGAGGGGAGCGGGAGCCGCACGAGCGGGGCGGGAGCGGCGGGAACGGCACGAGCAGGAGGAGGAAAAGCAGGGGGGGCAGCAGGGAGCAGCGGGCAGAGGAGCTGAGGAGGGGGTGTGAAAGAGCGGGCGGAGGGGGGGGGATGAGGGGGCGCGCGGGGGAGAGGAGGAGTGGAGGAGGGGCGGGGTTGCAGGGGGCAAAGGGGGGAAAGAAGGGGAGGGCGGGGGGGGAGAGGGCGCCAAGGCGGTCGAGAAATCAAGACTCCCCCCAGCAGCCCCCTCGCAGGCTACCCTGCCCCGCCCGAGGCCTCCGACAGCGTGGCGTCCTCTTCGCCCTCCGCCCTCGGCGTCGACTCCGCCGTCGTCGGTCGTCCGCCGCCCGTCGCCCTCGCCGCTCTCGCCCGTCGCCGTCGCCCGCCGTCGCCCGCCGTCGCCCGCCCTCGTCGTGCCCCCGGCCCTGCCCCACGCCGATGCCTCCGTCAGGCTGGCGTCGTCCTCGCCCTCCGGCCTCGCCGCCCTGCCTCGCCGGGCCTCGTCCTCCGGCGCCTCGCCGGGCCTCGGCGGGGCGCCGGGAGCGGCGCCCGGGCCCGCGGGCGCTCGGCCACCAGAGAACGGGGGGGGGGCGGACCCACTGCGGCGAGGGGCGACGGAGGACGGAGGAGGGACGACGACGACGACGACGACGCCGACGACGACGGACGACGACGACGACGACGACGACGACGACGACGTCGACGACGACGACGACGACGACGACGACGACGACCGACGCCGGACGACGACGACCGACGCCGGACGACGACGACCGACGCCGGACGACGACGACGACGACGACGACGACGACGACGACGACGACGACGACGACGACGACGGCGGCGGCGACGGCGGCGGCGGCGGCGGCGGCGGTGACGACGATGACGACGACGAATACGACGACGGCGGCGGCGGTGACGACGGCGACGGCAGTGACGACGATTTGATGGCGAACGCACGGTGCGGGACAAGGTGGGGCAAAGGGCGACCTCAAGAGGAAACGCAGGTGCGGCAAGGAAAGAAGACCCCTGCTTCCCTAGAGGCCTCCTAGCTGCGGTCGGAGTAGATGTGGTCGGAAGATCGCGCCGAATCGCCGATGCATCGGCGATGCATCGGCGATGCATCGGCAGCGTCGGCAATGCAGCAACGACGTCGGCGTGGAGAAAATCGAACCCCATTCGAACCGCATCATTGGGGGCCTACGTGGCCGTCTTGGGGCGATCTGAAGGGAGCAGTTGGCCCGTATTGGACGTTTTCTGTTTTTCAATTCGACTGGGCGACGAAACACTGGAGAATGTCCGGAATCCGCCGACCCTTTGTGGGCCTTGAGGCGCGTGAGATTTTTCCCCCCCATAATCCCCCCCAAGGACCCCAAACCAGCAATTTGACCCACCCACCCCTGGCCGGCCCAAGATTGCGCTCAGGGGACCACGAAAAGAAGCACACTCGCGCACATACGTCGCGCCTCTCGAGGCCTTCAGAGGCACGTGGAGCGGCCCAGGAGGGCCTGGAGAGGACCCCCCCAGCGGCGCCCAAGAGGGCCCTCTGGGCGCCACTGTCGGGAGCCCTTCCTCGGACCCTCTCGGGCCCTTTTCGGGTCCTTCTCGGGCCCCTCTGGGACGCCCCCTGGGCCCCCTTGCGACCCGCCCCCGATGTTCCGAACGAGCCCCGAAGAAGCGCAAACGCAGCCGAGGTCTCTCCACCCAGAGGGGGCGCCGATATATTTGGGGCCCCCCCCCGGACGGCCCAAGGGTCTGAATACAAGGGCACCCTGGAGCCCTTCTCGTCACCGTCGTCAGTGACGTAAGTCTGTGAATAAAATGAAGAATGTGATGCGAACCCTTTTCGCTATGAATATCGGGGGCGCGCCAACCCGCGCCGTCCTGGGGCGGCGCTCCGCCTGCAATATGAAACCCACCCGCCCACTGCCGAGCCAAACAGGCTGCAGGGGCGGGAGACTCGAGCAGACCCCTCACGATATGTCCAACATGAACATCCTCGAAATCAGCCAGGGGGAAAAGAGATCTGCTCGAGCTCGGAGCGCGTGGCACCTGCCGTGGCCACGTCGCTAGAAGGGGGCTGGACCCGCCTCCTGCCTTCCAGGATATTCCTGGCCTCGCTGCGGTCGGTCTCAGTCGTCTCGTCGAAGATCCCTTTACCAAGGGCAGACCGTTTGCGAGCCGAAAGGAACCTCTCGTCGTGAACGATCTTCCAGCGCTGACTCTTCAGGAAAGCGTGGAGCACGTTGAAAGCCTGCTGGCTGGCTTTGGTCATGCCATCGGCCAGCTGCGCATGGCAATGCACCCAGCGCACGATCGCCTCGCCCTCCTCGAGGGCCCGGCGCAAGGCGAGCGCCTCTATGGCCGTCCTCCTTTCATCGAGGCCCAAGCCGGCCGACTCAGACTTCACCACACCATCGTAGAACGCCTTGCAGTCCGCCACGAGAGCTCCTGGAATGTGATGCAGAGCAGCAGCACGATTACGGAGGTCGACCGAACCGACGAGCACCTCGTAGAGCACCAGGCGAACCATCATCTGCTCGCCCTCCGCGTCGCTGGCCTCCTGGCTCTCCGCGGACAGGCTGGACCTGGCAACCCGCTTGAGCTTGCGAGATCCCCAGTCCAAGACAGTGAAGTCGCATGCCTCCTGAAACGGTCCTTCCGCCGAACTGAGAGCTGCAACGTGACCGCCTTGGGAATGTCCATCTGGTCGGCTGGCCCAAGCAGCGTCGCGCCAGGTGTAGATGCGAAAATCGGAACCACCTCGTCCGCATCCTGGCAGTTGGTGGCGAAAGATCTGAATGCCGTCAGTCCGATTGGCTTTGATCATCTTGGTGATGTTGTTCGCTATCGAAAAGAACTTGCAGTCACCATTGGGTATCTTGCTTTGAACATATGCAACCCATGCTGAAACCCAGGGAGGTGCATTGACACCAAGCCAAGAGAGAGCTCCACACCAAGTTCTCAAAGTGCTCTGGTCCGCCTCGGTCAATCGGTCGCTGCTCTTGGCCTTCGGGTACTTCGGGAAGATCTCCTTCAGCTTGTCAATGTAGCCCTGCTGGTGCTGGAAGAAACCCTTCTCGTTCTTCACGATCGTCGCGCCGCACTGCTCGATGGAGTCGATCCCGTCGTCCATGTCCTCAGGTGCCCCACGCGCAGAGGTCCTTGATGCTCTTCAGCGCCTTCCGCCATGCAGGATGGTCTCGGTCACCGCAGAGAAGGAAGTCATCCACGTGGCACATGATGAGCCCCAGCAGCGCCTTGGTCCCAGGACAGCGTAGACTCCACAGGCATGGTTCGAGATCGCACGCCTGCAATCCCAGCTTGGCGAAGTCCTGCTGCACCGTCTGCCACCATTTGCGAGGAGCCTCGCCGATGCCGTAGCCCGGCTTCACCACGCGTAGCACTTGACCAGGTTGAACGCCAAACTCAGCAGATAGCGCCTCGTCGGCTTCCACGAAGAGGTCCTTCTTCAGGTCGTTCGCCTGCAGGAACGCGCTGGTCACGTCGCCCTTGACGATGGTCCAGGAGTTGGCGGCCGCGACCGTGAGGAGTAGATTCCGAGCGCGTCGCGAGGCCGTTGGTGAAGCGGCCGGCTCCTGTCCGATGTCCTTGGTCTGGTAGCCGAGGAGGACGAGGCGCGCCTTCGCGGCCCCATCGCTCTTGCGCGTCAGCACCCAGCGGCACCTGATCACGTCCGCAGGGTCCTTTACCTCGGAAACGGGTACACGACGGAGACCTTTGCACTGCTTCCAGTTGGCGACCTCCTTCGGCATGGCATTGCGGAACTCAGCCTTCTCGGAGGGGGAAAGCTTTCCCCAATGAAACTCGATCTTATCCTTCCGCTTCTGGTTGGCAACGGAGCAGTCCAGCATCTGAGAAGTGAGACGATGTCCGCCCTGGCTGTCCGCCAGTTCGGACTTGACCATCTCGAAGTAGACCGTCATGTTCTCGTCGATCAGCTCGAAGTCGGTGCCGCCCCGGTTCCCGTCGAAGGTGATCCGAGAGAAGAGCTCCTCATCGTTGTCCTCGACTGTTGGCTTGCCCTTAGAGTAGGGCCCAGGTCGGTCCTGTCGTCGTTCAGCAGGTGACTGTCGGTAGGTGGTCTCGTCGCCCTTGGAGGACATGCGCCAGCGCCGATGAGGTAGTTCAGCAGGCGGGGCCGAACTCGCTCTGGACGGTGGACTTAACCGAGACTGCTTCGAGACAGGCTGCTCGATGGAGGAGATACTTGAAGGGGAAGGCGGAGACGATTCAGGTGGTGTCGGCTCGCCTGCTGGTTCAGAACGTCCGTCCGAGGGATTAGGTTCAGCAGCTTCTTCGTCCATCTGATCGTCATGGTCCTCGGGTGACTCGGACGGCTGGATCGCCTGCGGTTCGAAGTTCTGGATGTGCAGTCGGCTCTCGTGGGTGAGGTCCTCGAACGTTCCGCGGCGGGCGACCTCCATCAAGTCGGACATGGTAGCCCCGCGTCCCTCCATGTTGTTAAGCTCCACGATCATTCGCTCGGCCTCCGTAGCTGGACGCAGTTGCTCAGGAGCACACCGAAGTAGAACATCGCCGTGCGAGATCCACACGACTGAAGTTGGGCGTGCAGAGCCTGTAAGTACCCGTTGTTCTTGAACTAAGACGCGCGCTGGACCATACCACGTTGCCTTGACAGGACCACGGCCCTTCCGCCAGTAGTAGCAGTGCTCGCCGGTGTTCCAGCGAGTCGTCACGCGGCTGCGGGCATGTTCTGCATGTCGGCGTCGCTCTGAGTACTCCACCTCGATGAAGCTCTGACGTGCCAGAAGTCGCCTCGGCTCCCGGGACTCTCCGTTGCTGTCGTCCACGATGGCAAAGGGATTGCCCGAGCCCCGATGGCCTCCAGTACCAAAGGCGTGTACGAAGGGCGAATGGTTCCCGACCTTGTCAAGATCGTTGATCGCATGCGTGACCTGGCTGATGGCCTCGTCGATGTCGCAGTCGTGATTCTGTTTCCTGAGCTTAGTGAGAGTCCGCTTGAACAGCTGGATCCTGCGCTCAACCTTGCCCATTAGCCAGTGCGCCTCGCCAGGGGCGATGAACATCTCGATCCCGCGCGTACTGCACCAGCTTTTGGTGAGTTCCGCTCGATGACAGCCCTCAGCGTCGCAGCGAATCAGGCGAGGAACGCGGTAGTGATTCGTCCAGGATCTCCAGGTCTCGAGGAGGTCCGCTGCTGATCGGTTGCCGGACCTCTGGGACTTGTCGCCATGGTTGAAGATCTCTGCGTGAGTCCAGACCCCTCGTCAAGGTTCAGCGTGAACAGGTAGGTCGCGTCGTCAACAGGGTCGGTCCACTCGAGGCCGTCACTCCCCATCACCTCGAAGGCCTCGGGAATGTCGATGCCAGCAGCTGTTCTGACGGCATTCGGCAGCACCGAGGAGTCGCAGGCATGGCACTTAAACTTCTTGACCATCTTCAGAACCAGGATGCTCGCGCCCGAGTTCTTGAGAATCTTGAACATGGTGCGGACGTTGGGGTGGCCCAGATTGCGATGAAGTCGGCTGAGGCGGTGCTCTATCTCCCGGGCCTCCTTGGTGCTCAGCGCGCCGCCGTCCTTGGAGAGCTCCCTGAGGTCGTCCTCGTCGAGCTCCTCGTCTGACGCCTGCTGGTCCTCCATCTCCTGGTCGCCGTCTTCGTCGATGCCCTCGAAGATGCCGTCGTCAGTGTCCTGGCGCGTCGCCAAGAGGGCTGAGGTTCCTGCTGTAGCACCACCTCCGGCACGCAGAGTGCGCTTCGCCCAGGCCTTGCACAACGCCTCGGGGTAGAACGCTGTGGCCGCTACCACCTCCCCCCCGATGATCTCACCATGCTCGTGGTTGTCATGCCGACCAGGGCGATTACTGCAGCGCTTGCCGATAGCCTTCTGCAGCTCGGGGTCGGTAGAGCAGATCCTCCAAACCTTGGGCAAGAGGAGGCCGCTACGGGGGCAGCGGAGGCCGTAAGCACAGCCGGCCACCAGCGTCTCGTAGGTCTGCTCCCTGATGCGCTTCAGTGCCTCCGAACGTCCCCAGCTATGAGATCTCTGCGGCTGCTCCAGGTCGATCTCGGCCCCACGGAATTGGAGCCCGACCGACATGATGGTCTCGCACCCAGCTTGTATCCGACGAGCCTGTTGCACCTTTTTACGTAGACGTTCGCGGTCCTCTGGGGTCTTCTGGTTCCAGTTCTGGAGTTGGCAGTCCGCGGTGCACGGAGGACTCACGACGATGCGTCGAGGCCGATGTTGACGAATCCACAGAGCAAGCCGTCGCACTCCAGTCTTCGTCGCCATGTCGAACCCGTTGTGTACCCCAGCTCGGAAGGCGGCCCCACCTAGGTCGATCACCGCCTGGGAGAGACGAGACTTCGGAGGCGTGCAGACCTCGAGCAAGTCGTAGCGGCCGTTGCGGGACAGGAAATTGACGTCGTCGCCGATCTCCTTCGTGTAGTCCAGATCGTACTGGTCGATAGCCTTCTGCATGATGTCCAGGTCCTCGGTGGTCAAGGACACTCGCGCCCTCTCTTGCTGGCCATCTCCTTCTCGGGTGAGTCGTCCAGCATCTCGAAGGATTCCGAGGGCGGGTCGTTCGCCAGTCTCTCCAGGACCTTGGACAGCATCCGCCTCCACCTCATGTAGATCACCTCGGACCTGCACAGCCAACTGACCTCTGGGCTCGCCGACCTGGGAATCATGCACTCGGGGAGGCCTGCTTGTGGCTGGTCGTTCTTCCGACGAGGTGGACGGTAGTTCTGCGCGAAGTTCAGCGACGGGTACCCGGCCTCCTCCAGCCGACACTTGTGGGCCTGGCCTCCCGTGCACGAACACCCGTTCCGCTTGCGACCTGGTTGGCCGCAGCAGCCGCACCTCTGAAATCCCGGCGCCTTGGACTTGGCCGCCTGGACGAGGGTGGCGGTCGGATTCGATCCAGCAGCATTCGTGGTCACATCCTTTGGGGGTACAGAAGCGAACTCGCCTTGGATGACCCTGGCCTCGGACTGGATCTGAGCTGACGTCGACGCACTCGCCTCGGCTGTTGTCGGCAGCCTTGACGCGAAAGGAATTGTTCTGCGATCTCGCGGACGCTCCGTAGTAGGGGATGGCGGCGGTGGCGCACCCGAAGGCGACGAGATGGTGCCACGGCGGCATGACATCCGCTGGATATGGAAGCGTAGATGAATATTGAGGATCTCCTCCTGGTTGAACGCCCTTCGAGCCGAAAGAACTCGGTGCGCATCAAAATCGTCAGGATCGGGGGGGGGGGGGGGGGCTCAGATTGCCGTGTCGGGAGTTTCGTACTCGTACTAGTCTGCGCTCTTGGAGATGTCTCGGTTTCTCCGATCGTTGCTCTCGAACTCTCGGTCCCCGAAGATGGTCCCCAATATGCCCTCGTAGGAGATGCTGTAGGAGATCTCGAGAGGCTTGGGGGTGTAGGAGCAGGCCCAGGGGGTGCAGCTAGGACATCCTGACCCCTGTCGGCGTCTTCGAACTTCGGGAAGTCTGAGGATCTCTCGAGGGTGCGAGGCTGTTCTGGAGTCTTCTTGGGCCCCCCCCGATGGACCAGAGGAAAGAACTTTTCTCGGATCCACCAGGGGGTGCTGTCCCTAGCTCGAAGCCCCCGCGCCAGCCGCGGGCGCCAGCGCCAGCACCGCCTCGTCCGCGACCGCGGACGTCTTAGCCTCGTCCTCCAGGGCGTTGCACTGTGTGATCCCGACGATGTTCGGGAGGCTCTGGGGGATGTTCTGCCGCCACGTCGGAGTCGTCACGTCGATGGCGAGGTGACCACTGGGCATCTTCCGGCACTGGAAGACGTGATGTGAGATCTTCGGCACCATCAGGTAGCCGTCACCGCAGTCGATGAGGGCGTTGGTATGATCAGGTCCCAGCACGTCCATGCCGATCAGCAGCGGCACCTCGTTGTCCATGATCGAGATCTCGATCTTCTCCTAGCCGTCGCCGAGAAAGATGGCACCCGTCATGGTGCCCATCGAGCTCTTGCGCCTGCCGTCGCCGAAAGTGAAGTACCGCGTCCGCTCCACCACGTCGAACAGTATGTTGTGCTTCTCCTCCATGTCGTAGATGAGGTGCTCGGCCATCGTCACACCGATGAGGCCCCTCGTGGCGCCGCAGTCGAGGATCGCCCAGATGCCGCCCACGCCGTCCAAGAGGAGCACCAGGTCGCCGAGCTCTAGAAGCGCAAACGAGGTCATCTCGCTGGGCTGTGGCCTGCCGCGGCCCATCGTCCTCTCGGGGCAGTCCTTCGCCTGGTGTCCGAACTTGCGGCAAGCTAGACATCTCATGGTGGGCCTGTCACGCGCAGGTTCTTGACCACCGTCCTGACGAGAAGATCGTTGACCATCTTGACGAGAAGAGCGTTGGCCATCACGTAGTTGTCGAGGACGAGGGGGTCCCTCCGCCGGTCGAGGAGCGAGCACGGGGTAGTATTCCCTCGCCACCGTGAGCTTCCTGATGAGGTCCCTCGCGTCGATGAAATTCCTGCCCAGCTGCCTGAACTCCGCGTAGATGCCGTCCTCGTAGTCGTCGACAAGCTCGGAGTCTTCGAAGAGGGTCGAGTCCTCCTCGTCCGCTAAGTTCACCAGCTGGTCCACGATGTCCGCGATCTCGGACCTGTCCTCGAAGGCGTGGTCCTCCTGCTCGGCCTCCTCGGCCTCGCCGAAGAGACCCGCGCGCCTGTCCTTCTTCTCGCGGACCCCGTCGATCTCCTTTAGCGCTTCCTGCGGGTACCTCGTGCGCAGCGCCTTGTACGTCCTGCCGAAGTCGTAGTCGCCACCCGCCGTAGCGGTGATCTCGCCCCTTGCCACAGGGCTCAGGCGCGGTCGGCGGAGGTACCACCACGTCCTCAGAGGCGCTGCGATGACCTCCTCGACCGAGCTGTCCACCGCCTTCAGCTGCGACAAGAGCTCGCGCTCGTGCGCCTCCCAGCGCGCCGTCCAGTCGGGGAAGCCCTCACCCGGCTCCCGCTGGAGCTCGTTGAAGGACTTCTCCGCTGAGTTCCCCATCTCGTTCACGTTGGACAGGTCGAGCTTCGACAAGAAGAAGTCGAAGACGCGTTGCCATCCTGTCAGCTTACCCACGTCGGTGACTTCGTCGATCTTGTCGATGTCTGGGCACGCCTGTGCCAGTCTGCGTGTTCCTGCCCCCAGCGCTCTCACCAGCTGGGGTCCCACCACGTACCTGTCCTGCATCTTATAGCTCTTGTCGAAGAGCCCGACGTCGAACTTGTATGCCAGCAGCTTGTCGGGCTCTCCGTCCCATGATGGGGCGTCCAATCGGAGTGCTGCTGAGCCGCCAGCAGCTCCTCCGGTCGTAGTCGCACCACTCGACATTGTTGTCGTCGATCGTGATCGCCACAATGTAGACCGTGGTCGATCGTGATCGCCACAATGTAGACCGCGGTCGTAACTCTGCTCTCGCTACCAATCTGAATACAAGGGCACCCTGGAGCCCTTCTCGCCACCGTCGTCAGTGACGTAAGTCTGTGAATAAAATGAAGAATGTGATGCGAACCCTTTTCGCAATGAATCTCGGCGGCGCGCCAACCCGCGCCGCCCTGGGGCGGCACTCCGCCTGCAATATGAAACCCGCCCGCCCACTGCCGAGCCAAACGGGCTGCAGGGACGGGAGACTCGAGCAGACCCCTCGCGATATGTCCAACATGAACATCCTCGAAATCAGAAAGGGGGGCCCTTTGGAGCCCCCATCGGGCCGCCTGGGGGCCCGCGCCGAACTTCTGGGGGGCATCGGGGGGGGGCCCGAGAGGAGAGGGCCCCAGGAAGATGGGCCCCTCTGGCGGGTGGCCTCTTGAGCTCCCCCCCGGCGCCCTCTGGCGGGGGCCCCCGCGAAGAGGGATGGCGTCGACGCGCTTCCCCGGGCCAACCTGGCCCTGCCTTGCAAGCCAATCGGCCGCGGCGCAAAGCCCGAATACAAAGGGAATCGCACTGGGGCGGCGTGCCAAATCTCTCTCGGCTCGCGAAATATTTTCGCGCGCTCAGGACAACTATGGTTTGGGTATGTCTCGCAATCTGATACGTTTGCAAACGTGCCTCCTGCCCTGGCCAACCGACGACGCAATCCTTCGCACGCCAACGTCGACACAGGGCCTCGCCTGGACCAGAAGGGCAAAGGGCGCCGCCGAGAACAACCACGGCGTCAACAATCCTGCAACACAACTCCCCAAATTCCGCGCCTACTATCACGTGCCCTCCAGAACCCCCCACCCCCACAGAAGCACTCACCGGTATAATTTCCAGAGACTGAGGCTTCCCTGTCCAACCACACCTAGGAGCCAACGCGGCTGTCAAAGTTTTGAACATAAACACCTACTCCGCAGAACTTGCTGGCACATCAAACGATCCCTACCCAAGTGGACGCGGGAATCCGTCGGTTTGAATCTGGCAGTTTGAAGCCTAAGCCCAAAATACGCAACTCTGATTCAATGGCATCGAGGGCTTCCTCGAACATTCTAGCAGAGACCCATGGCTCGATTCTACCACCACTCTTGAGGGCTTTCTCCAAGTCGATCTTGCAGAGGCACTTCCGGGCCTCAGCATTGTCGACGGCGGGCGCGCGCCAGCCATCGCGCGGCCCCCCCGCCCGCACATTCGCGACGACGCTTCCCAGGCACCGGGCGATGCACCGCCGATCCCTGGAGTCAATCGCGAGCAGCCCCAGCATCGCCAGTAGAAGGCGTTCCTCCATCAGCTTCGCCTTCGAGGGCCTGTTCGGGCGCGTCGCGATATTCTCCTTGGATGCGTCGACGAGGTCTCGTTGGAATGGGTGGATCTGGCGCATGATGAGGCCCAAGCCCCAAGTGTCAACCTTAGGGCCGTGCTCGGAAGAACCCCAGCACATGTCTGGCGCACGGCACTGCTTGGAGTGCCATACACAATGCTGCTTTGGTGTGGCAATATTGCTGGCGATGACCATGTCAATCAGCTTCGCGCCGCAGTTTGAGGTGACCGACACATTGCCCGACTTGACGCGTGTGTGTGTGTGTACTCGTGATCATGCTGTACCCAAACTCTAGAGCACAGCATGAGAATGACAGCATCCTCATTGTTATTGAGGAAGTGGAACAGCTGGGAGACTGTCGTACATCGTCGCGGTCATGTCCTTCGGAACGTAGCTGATCTCGTCACCATTGATCATCTGGCGCTGGTGCATAGGGCTCAGCGCTTCACAGAGCTGACAGATGAGGTTTCGGAACAGCTGGGATGGCACACTCTGCCTCGCGAACACATGCTGCTTCAACAGGCGGTCGAGGTCGAAGCCGACTGACTGCACGGCCTCGAGCGCTACATATGAGCCCTTCGACGAAGTGGCCGAATACAGCATGGACACCATGTTGGGGTGCTTCCCGAGCTGGTTCAGGACCTGCATTTCCCTGCGCAACCGCTTATCCCCTGCATATTCTTGGAGATGCAGACGGCAACCAAGCTCCCCTGGAAGGTCCCGATGAATGCCTCCATGTCGCTGCCGAACGCCACGGGGTTCGGGTCCCACTCTGGGATCTCGCCGCCGCTCCGGAGACAGCAGAACATGGCGTCTCAGTCTCAACCGCCGCGCTGCGGCCTGTGGGCCGGGTTGCGCACAGGGTCGTCTGCGCGGCGGGCCTAAGCGGGCCGCCTGGGCGGCCCGATGGCGAGCCGTTGCTGGGCCATGGCGGCCGAGCCGAAACGGCTCTTGAGCCAAAGTGGTTACGGATGGGACGTCTCGGGACTCTCTTGGGCCATCCTAGGGCCCCCCTTGGGAGCCGCTTGAGCCGTGTTGGGCCGATACCTGGCGCCTCGTGGGCTGTGGTCGCCCGTCGGAACCATGAAAAAGCTAGAACACGGAAGACCTTCTGTAAAACATAAAAAACGTCGATGAACTTAATGCGTTTCGCCTCCTAGGGGCCTCCTGGGACTCCTTTTGAAGACCTCTTGGCCGTCTTGAGGCCCTCTTGGGTGCCTTGAAGCCATGTTGGGCCATATCGGAACCTTCTTGGGCGGTATTGGTCTCTCTTGGAGCGCATTTGGGCCGTCTTGGAGACCTCCTAGACGTCTCTTGGGCCCTCTCGTCGCCCCTCTTCCCCTCCTTTGACGCGTGTTGGCGCTCCCCGACGGGTCCAAACCGGCAGTGTACAAAAT